AACCTACTTGCATAGGTTCCTATAAGAACCAGGACACATAAACAGTAGCTTTCTCACACTTTCCTAACTGAAAGACAAGGAAGCCTGGAGTGCTGCAGTCCATGGGGTCGCAAAGAGTCAGACACGACTTAGCGACTGAACATCAATAATTCCTGACGAATTTGATCTTAAAAGTTCTCTGCATCCTTCTTTTGATTTAATGATCAATTGTAGAACCTAATCATCCTTAGTCCAGAGTTCTTCCGCAGAGCGACCCCAAAGTCTATCTGCCGTTGTTTAAACTGGAGCTCATTTTTTAGATATGGAGACATGTCTTAGAAGAAAACACCAATTATTTGTAACAACTGAATTTCGGGACCCAATTATATAAAACTTAACCTTTCTGGTGATTCTTTGCATTGGCTAATATTTATACGAATTCACATTTCCCAGGGAACACACTAACTCCACAATTAGGGCTGGCTGGGGTAACCTGGGGAAGCTGATTTAGGTTTTGACATTGGACTTGGATAATCCATCAAAGTTTATTACTGTTTGGCTGGAGTAGAATGAAGAACAGAGAGTCATTTCCTCTTGTTCTTTCCTCTGCAGAAAGGAGAAACAGCTGGCTCTCCTTGTAAGAACTTAGCCTCACCCTCATTCCCAGGCCAGCACATTCCTGAAGGAGCCTGGCCTGGATCTTTCTAGTTCAAAGTCAGCTCACCTCATCCAAACAATAAGAGAACTCGTTAAACAGTGCTGCTCACGAGGCGACTGGTCACACTCCTCTGTGCTTGCATGCAAGGTACTCAGCCAGCATTTATCACTTTATTATTGCTAAATTTTCACAATACGAATAATAATGGCTAACATCTACTTTTTTTAGACACCAGCTCTTGTACTAATGACACTTCTGGCATTATCTCAGACCTCCCAATCATGATTTTGATGTCATTATCCTTATTTCGTAAAACAAAGAACAGAGACTTGGATAAGCCATGGTCACATAGCTGGTCTAAAGCTGGTCACATAGCTACGCTCTGAAATTAAACAATTCTCTTGAATCTGGCAGGGATCTTCCTGTACATAGAACTGTCCTAACTGATTGAATAATGGGGTTGAGATTAGCAGCCTTCTTTCCCTCCACATCTTCCTCCCTCATCCCTACTGCCTCTGCCCCTCATCCCACCTGGTGGGGCCTCAATGCTGGTGAGGTGGTAGTTGCATTCTGCGAACAGGTCTTCTTAGAGAAAAAAAAAGAGAGAAGAAAAACCAAAACCTGTCTATCTGAATGTAACCAGAGACTAGCATGCCTGTTTCGGTGTTTTAATTACTGAAATAAAGGCAGCTGTGTTTATTTCCATGTTGGCTCTTGCAGACAAGAGTTCACTTATTTAACTAGGGACAACCAGGTCATACAAAGTCTGGGATGCATTTCATGTTCTCAGTTATACTCTGAGTGTCTGTGCCGGGAAAGCCCACATCCATTCTAATGACCAGCCTCAAGAAGGACGAGGACAGATGGTCCAGAGGTGGTCACTGGAACTCTGGTTTTTGAAAGCTCTGATGTATTTTGGGCTCAATTCACGTCCGGGCAATTAGCTTCAAACCCCAACCATATGTGTTTCTCATCATCCTCAAAACAGAGGAATGTCCAACACCTAACACTAAACCCAGTACTGGAAAGGAGTGTTGGGGGAGTGTTGTGGTCCTCGGAGGATGTTAAGAATCAAAGCTCATGGTGAGAGATGGGGCCTTGGAGGCCTCAGGAATGGAACCATGGCTGAAAGAAAGATCAAGTCCATTGGCTTAACCCTTCTTCCAGCTAAAACCTCTCTTTCTGACACTATCATGCAGTGCAAAGAACACAGGTTTCACTGCAGGCTGATTTGTTTCTCCACCCCACCCCACCCCCAAAATTCATATGTCGAAGCCCTATGGCCACAGTGTGACAGCATTTGGAGATGAGGCCTTTGGGAAATAATTAGGTTTTGATGAGGTGATAAAGGTAGGGCCCTCAACACTCATGCTGGGATTAGCATCCTTACAAGAATGGACACCAGAGACCATGCCCTCTCCTCTTTGTGCGCAGAGGGGCTGTGCAAGGACACAGCAAGCGGGCAGCCAGGGAGAGATATGGTTGTCTGCCAGAGAACAATGGTTGTCTGGCAGCTCTCAGCAGGAGCTCCATCTGCCAGCACCCTGACCTCGTACTTGCCTGCTCCCAGATCAGTGAGAAATAAACATCTATAGATTAAGTCACCCAGTCTATGGTGTTTGTACGGCAGCCCAAACAAACTAACACAGGTGTCTAAATCAGACAAGGATTCATGCTTTTTTGTTTTTAATTTTTAATTGGCGTTTAATTGCTTTACAATGTTGTCTTTGTTTCTGCCACAGAACAACGTGAATCAGCCGTGAGTATACACACGTCCCCTCCCTTCTGAACCTCCCTCCCACGCCCCCACCCCACCCCACCCCCTCTGGGTTTGTCACAGAGCACCACCTTGAGCTGCCTGTGATATACAGCAACTTCCCACGAGCTATTTATTTTACACCTGGTAGTATGTATATATGTCAGTGTACGCTTTCAATTCATCCCACTCTCTCACTCCCCACTGTGTCCACAAGTCCATTCTCTATGTCTGCGTCTATATTCCTGCCCTGCAAATAGGTTCCCCAGGAAAAGGTTCACAGTCTGACTACTTGTGACCTTGGACAAGCTATTGTGTTTCTCTTGCCCATCATTTTGTGGACGGACTACATAATGTGAACAATGGTTGTCTGGCAGCTCTGTGAGCTGGGTTGAGTGTGGTGGAGGTGAAAGGCACCTAGCACTTTTCCTGGCACCTCCATCCATGTCAGCTCCCTTTCTCCCAACTCAAGGGTCCTTAGTGCTAGAATCTGGAATGCAACATTCCCATCAGAGATGCCTCCCATGCATGCGATGGCCGATCTCACAAATGGACAGCTCTTTGGTCAACTTCAGCCCGTGGATGTGTTTTGTTTGCCCTATACTGATGTTTGGGGACATCTGGATCATTTATCAACATTTAAAAGATATGAAATTTCATGTAAAAATCTCAGTCTCTGGTTCTTCCTGAGAAATAAGATGGCATGACACTGGACTGCATTCTTCCAGCGGGGAGGGGGAGTGGAATCCCCTTGCGCAGAGAGTTAGCCCTCACTTCCATCCACCAGGCTGGCTTCACCCACTTAGACCTGCTGGCACCTGCAGGCCTCTCGGTGGGTGGCCCATGGGTTAACAGGGCTGGTACAATCTGGCGTGACCTGTACTTTTCCTAGCTGCCCACAAACAATGGTTTTAAGTACAATTTCAGGATCCATCCCCTGATGCAAGGAACAATTAGCACGTTCCTGAGTCGCCACTTTATTTATTTATACATCTATTGTGAGCTAAGGAACATTCATGGAGAGGCGGGGATCTTAGTTCTTGGAGTGAAACTCAGCTTTTGCAACCGGGAGGTTGCCTGACCCAGCTTTGCCCCTGTCACTCAACTTCTCGGGGACTCAGTTTCCTCCTCTGTGAAAATGGGGCCTTGGGAGAGATGATCTCTATTGTGTCTTTCCATATTTGTGTAATTCTTATGTGAAATTCAAGCACATGGCTAGAAATTTAACACAACTCTCTTTACTTCTGAGCTCTAAAGGTTTTCATGAAAGCAGAGCTCTTAAAACACTTCACTGACCCTTAATATAGGTCTTACGTAAATGTAAACAGGACTCAAAGAATGGCCTTGTTTAATGTTCTGCCCACTTCAGGCTTGGGTCTTTAGCCTTGATGCTCTGCACTTAACACACCCAAGAGGAATGAACACCAGCGCATTAAAAGAACTGATGTCTAATTCTTGTCCCCAGGAGATCCTGGGGCTCTGGGCCATGCCTGCTTCTCTGCCCTCATTTTACCAAAACACAAATCCAACCACACCACCACCCAACCCCCAGTGTTCTGGGCAAGTGGGCTTACTTTCCGTTCTGTGCTCAGGTCCGTTGCTACCACAGGACCTTTGCACCGGCAGTTGCCACTACCTGGAGCCCTCTTCATTTAGTTAATATCCACTGATCCATCAGATGACAGCACAAGCGTCACATCACCATTCCTGGCCTCCTTGGCAAGACCAAGTCCTACTAACAGTTGTGTTGTGGTAGCTGTCACAGCTACATTATTATTAATACATTTTTTATGTGTGATCAGTTGACTAATGATTATTGCCCCAACTGAACATATTATAAATTCCAGGAAGAGCCGTGTCTACATCTATCTTTATTCATTCTTGTGTTTCCAGTGCCTGGCTAATGGGGAGGCACAAAAACATTTGATGCATGAATGAATGAACGAGTAGTAGACACTACTGGGAAGATTCTGGAAGACAAACTCTTCAAGGACCATATCTTATCGAGAGTTTGATCACCAAAACCTAATAGCAATGACAGTGAAAATGATGGTAAGAGCTCCGAGTACCAAGTACTTCATGCATTTCCAACTCTGTTCTGACAGACTATTTATGCAGTAACTCAACACCTCACAAGAACTTACGGAAGTTGGTGCATTTCCTATCCCTGTTTCACATAAGAGAAGGCCAAGGCACAAAGAGCTTGGTAAACCTCTTAGTAAAAGGAAGAACAGCTATAAAATCCTAAGCAGTCTACTCCCAACCACTAGACCATCCTGCCTAATACGGTCAGTGAGGCACAAGAAATGTTTACAGAGTAAATGACAGCTGCTAGATGTCACCCTCTAGCCCTGAGCCCCAGCCACCCACACATGCACTATATACATGGACAAAGGGACAGGCCCTCTCTGGAGCAGAAGTCTAGACAGACAAGGGCCCCGGAACTTAACAGTCAGAAAAGATTCAGAAAAGCCAACAGAAGCACCAATAAGAACCAAGCAGAAAACAGAAAATAAGGTGAGGCTCCAGGAGTGATGGTGAGGTGTAGCCCCTCTGCCCCAGATCAGGCCCATGGGCGGGAGGGTCCCCGCCAGGCCAGCCACATACCTGATGCTTTCATTCAGTGCATAGAGCTCATTGCTCTGCAAGCCGCCCCCTTTAAAGACGTTGATCACGGCAGTCTGGACGCTGTGGGGAAATAGAAAGACCCCCGGTGAGTGGATCTGCTTCCCAGGCGCCACCTCCACAAGTGGCTCAGAGCCAAAGGTGGGAAGAAGGGCCAGGAAGCCCGGGGCACAGGCAGGACCACGTTTTCTCTCCCTGGAATCCATCACTTGCACACTCCTTCCTGGACCTCCCTGCCAGCTCCCCGCTCAATCCCACCCACCTAGGTCAGCAAGGAGCACCGACCTGAGCTGGTGCTATACACCAGCTTCCCACCAGCGACCCGTTTCAGAGCCGGTGCTATATGTTCGTCACTGCTAGTCTCCCAATTCATCCCGCCCGCCCCTCCCCCTCTGTGTCCACATGTCCCTTCTCTATGTCTGCATCTCTGTTCCTGCCCTGCAGATACGTCCATCTGGACCATTTTTTCTAGATTTCACATTCATGCCCCAATATATGATATTTGCTTTCCTCTTTCTGATATTTGTTTTCATACTTCACTCTGTATGACAGACTCTAGGTCCAGCCCTTCAATAGTACTTTCTGGGAAGAACTCCAGAAGGGCTGGCCTCACTTCCCCTTCCCCTCCCACGAGTGTTCAGGCAGGAGAGTTGATCCCTTGAAGGACCCAGGTAAGGCTCTGGACCCAGCCCAGGATTTCAGCAAGGAGCTGATCACAAGTTTGTCTTCACCCCAGGTTTCAGGCTTTTTAAAATGAACCAGGTTCATTTTAAGTAGAACCAGGTTCTACTTACCATCAAAACATTTCAGATCTCTCCTCCCTCACCATCATGAGTTGTGTGTTCGTTAAAAAAAAAAGATAATGATCCAAATGACAAAAAAAAAAAAAACCACTTCAGTAATGCTTTAAAATAACAATGCATTTGATTTACCCAAAGAGGAACCAAATTTGAAAAACAGCTCCAGGAGGGTGAGACATAGTATGGATTCAGGCTCTACTCAGTACCTGGTACACAGATTGGCTGGACGCTTAGGAAGGTGCAGTGTCTCCTCTCCCAGCCACCAGTAGCTTCCGGGTGGGGATCAACCCTGGTCTATGCTGTGTTGCTAGCGTTTCACAGATACGTGTCAAATCTTCCCAAATAGGTAGCAGGTGACTGGAAGTTATTTAGATGTTCCCACCCTCGGGTCTCTGACAACTGGCGTGGGACTAATGTTAAGCTTTGATACAACTGTCCTGGGCTGGTTAACTGATTTTGAGAGCCCAGAAGCCCCCAGTGGTCCGCTTTCCCTCTATTCAAACAAGGAAAGACGGAGAGAGAAAGAGGGACAAGCTAGGAGTATGGGATTAACAAGCTAGGATACAGCAACCAGGATTTCCTGCATAGTACAGGGAACCATATTCAATATCTTGTAATAACCTATTGTGAAAAATAATCAGAAAAAATAACTCAATTTAACAAAATATTGTAAATAAACTGTATATCAGTACAAAAAGAAAAAATACATTAAAAAAAAAAACAAGAAAAGCCGATGGATACAGTTGCCAGGGAAACAGGCATACTGTGTCAATCACCACTATACCCACGACCTTCTGGAGCCCTGATCTCAGGAGATGCTGAAGTCCAGCCAGCCCCTGGCCTTGGCACCCCAACCCCTACCCCACCACCACCTTCCTGCCCACCCAGTGCCTCCTATACCTGTTCCAAGCGGAGTTGGAACTCAGCTGCCGAGCCTGGCGGGCTGCCTGGAAGCGGGGCAGGTCGCTGAGCGCCGGGGAGCTCATGAAGCGCGGTCTGGGCCTGCGGAAGGAGCCCATCTTGGGGAACTCGACGGGCAGGCTGGGGGCGAAGCCACGGGTCATAAGTCCAGGTGAGNCACAAAGATTGGTGCAGAGGTTAGCAGCCGTGAGTATGACTCATAAGCAGCCAATTAGTGAAGAGCAGCTATTTGAAAGGGAACTTTAAAATCATCATCCAGAAATATGGCATGATCAAGGCTTGAATCATAATGCACTTTTGTTTTGCGTTTTGTCCTCTTTTAAAATAAGCCCCCCCCCCCAAAAAAAAAAAAACCACAGGACCCTACAGTACTATCTATATCTTGCAGGGTCCCATGCACAAGTGTTCACAAGCCTCCTTTTGGTTATAACCTTGTGGTCATCCCCAAGTAGAGAGGCACTCACAATGGGTTGAGGCCAGTCCTACAGAAATGTGATTTCTAAGCTATGTTTGACTGTGGTTCCCATGCACATCTATCAGAGTTTGGGCCCCTGCTGAGTTTCTGTAGCTTCACCAAGTTTTCCATTGAGATGACTTAAAAAAAAAAAAAATAGAGCACACAAGAGCTCCTTGTCTAGGCACTGAAGATGGTCTATGACTCGCCCTGACCCCAGCAGCCCACATGCATCGCTCACTATTTCCCAAAGCATCAGCACCTCTTCCTTCAGGCTCATCTCCTCACCCTCCCTTATCTGCCGTCCATTCATGCACTCCATCAGAACATATTTATTGGTTACTATTTACTAACCAGGGTTCCCTAGTGGCTCAGTGGTAAAGAATCCACCTGCTAATGCAGGAGACGTGGGTTGGATCTCTGGGTCAGGAAGATCCCCTGGAGGAGGAAATGGCAACCCACTCCAGTACTCTTGCCTGGAGAATCCCATGGACAGAGGAGCCTGGTGGGCTACAGTCCATGGGGTCGCAAAGAGTCAGACACAACTTAGTAATAAACAGCAACAATTTATTAACCATGTGAGCTGTGGAGTATCCAAAGATTTCTAAGACCTAGTCCCCGCCCTCAAGAGGCTCATGGTCTATGGCAAGAGAAGTCGTCATGTATTTGCTCATGCAATAAACATTTACAAAGCCCCTACAGCACTTCAGGTGCTCAGGTATTGGGGATGCGTGGTGGCCATGGAGAATGTGGTCCCTGCCCCATGGAGCTGTTCCATGTGAGGCTGCAGCCTTTTGATTGTATCTACAATTTCCCTTGGGGCTTCCCTGGTAGCTCAGCTGGTAAAGAACCAGCCTGCAACGCAGGAGACGCTGGTTTGATTCCTGCGTTGGGAAAATCCACTGGAGAAGAGATAGGCTACCCACTCCAGCATTCTTGGGCTTCCCTGTGGCTCAAATGGTAAAGAATCCACCTGCAATGCTGGAGACCTGGGTTCGATCCCGGGGTGGGAAGATCCCCTGGAGGAGGGCATGGCAACGCCCTCCAGTATTTTTGCCTGGAGAATCCCATGGACATAGAAGCCTGGTGGGCTATAGTCCTTGGGGTTGCAAAGAGTCAGACACGACTGAGCGACTGTCACAGCACAGCCCTGTTTCCCTGCCCAGAACCCCCTCCCTCTTCCTCTCTGCTTATCTAAATCTAACTTACCCTGCAGGGTTGGGTTCAATGACACTGTCTTCTGGAAACCTTTATGACTCCATGGTTGATGACTGTGAGTGAATCTGGGTTCAAATCTTAACAAGGTCACTCCCAGGTTGTGTGACTTCGGGCTGATTGAGTATGAGAGTCCTCAGCTGCTAGCAATGCCAACTTCACAGGGCAGGTCAGAGGGGAAATGAGATGGTGTGACCTGCCCAGCTAAACAGCAGACCTGAGGCTCTCAAGCACCGGCTATTTCTGTTCAGACCTGTCTCTCTCACTTCTCTGGGCACTTTTGAACCTGCCATTTCAGTCTTTTATCCTTCAGTCAGCGTCAAGTCCAAACTGACAATGCAAAGTGAGTTTGGGAACTGGTCAGAGTGAAGAACAAAAGGAAACCACCAAGATCACAGTCACTTTTTTCTTCCAAAGCTTTAGGGTTTAGCCCAAAAATATTCTCAGTGGCACCTCACCAGCTACTCTGCTGTGTCCCCAAACCAACACTGAAAGAAAAAGATATTCCAGCCACAAATGCCAACTTTCCAGCTGGCAGGGGGAGCAGGTTTTGCAGGCCCAGCTGCGGTGTTGGAAGAAGGAAGAATCCGGGTCCCTCCTCCCACGGAAACAGGCTGCCCTGGTCAGCGAAGCACTGAGGCTGCTAGCTGGGCCCTGAGACTGTCCATCCAGAGGGCGTGGGCAGGGTTACCACTCCCTGTAGACAGTGGGCACCGTGACAATGTACTTGTAAAACCAAGAGCCCAGAAAGGAATGACTCGTCCTACCCCTGACATTTCTTAAATGTGTCCCACTTTCTCTGACAGTCTCCTGCCCTTCACCCCATTCTCAGAATGAGCCGATGATGACTAAACTTTACCAATAAATGCTGAGGAAGTCATGACAGACCTGCTCACTTTCAGAGGGTCTCAATAACCTCACAAGTGCCCCTGGAAGGTGGAAAGATCTATGCAAATAAATGAGTGGGGCAATGCAGTAATAAAACCACGGGAGCCCTTTAGACGCCTTAAACTAGCTGGCTTTGGGATTTAACTTGCCCGGTAAAGGTCACACGATTGAGAGAGACTCTGTTTTACCGCCCTTCTTTAAATGGGCCTGTTAAGTGCAATTCATCTGTGTAATTATGGGATATTAACTCCATTTACGAGGATCCTAAACTCCAGGTGATGGAGCTGCCTCCCACTCAGAGGCACCTGTACAGGGAAGTGGAAAGGTGAGCAGAATGCATCATTCGAGTCTTCTGGTTTCCTGCCGAAACACCACTTCTCCAGGAGGCTGGGCAGCACAGCGGGTCCCGGGGCGGGCTCCTACTCGCCCCCGCCCCCCCCCCAGTTACTGCCTCCCGTCCCACTGCCAGGCTTCCTGCTCCAAGCCGTGTGCACATCCAGCAAGGCTCATGGGCAGCCGCATCTATATAGGCAACCCTTTTAACTAAGGGAGACTTTCAGCCAAAAGGATGATGACTGCGGTGTCCTCGGCATTGCCTCGGCCGCGCAGTAACACACAGCCAGGAGCATCTCTGACTCATTCGTCCCCTGCAAAACCTGCCACCCTCAGATCCAGACATTCCAAAGCTGTCTTCATCCACCATGCCTACTTCCGGCTGGAGCCAAGAGGCCTCCCCAGAGCACCGAGAGGAAGCTGCTGGGCGCGTTGATGAGAGGGGCCTAAAAGGGAAACGCTGACACACCCTGTATCCACCTGCCATGGCGCTGTCTCCTCACACCCGGGCTTGTCCCGACCTAAACAGGACAAGGCAGAAACTCACAAGACAGACGGGGCTTCGGAGTGAAGCCTGGCCAGGCTCTCACTTACAGGGGACAAGAGTGAGGCCCAGAGGAGCAGAGAAAGGTCTGATGTCCGAGGTAGGAGACAGCCAGGACTGGCTAGAACTGAGGTTCCCTCATTCCTGATCTAGAAAGTTTCCCAGCCCCCACCTAGGCCATTCTGTAGGCTCTTTGAAGATGGCAATCAGATCAAGACTTACTCATCTCTGTAACCTCAAGCCTAAGGGTACTGCTGAAGCTAAAAATGAAGAAAGACTAGCAACTCATAAGGCACCAACTGCCTGCCTGACTTGATGACAAACCCCACAAAACCCCATCTGAAGATCAGAGAAGTTAAGTAACCTGCCAGAAGTCACACAGCTATTAAGAGGCAGATCACTGACTGACGACTGGCCTCATCCTGCAGCCCGTTCTCACTTTGCTGGGAGACCAGACCTGGCCAGGAAAATCACAACTGAAGCTACCAAGTTAGGCAGGAACATCTAGTCACAGAATTTCATATTAAAATTTAAACCTCATGCCCCAGAGATGGATAAACAGACGTAGGGAACACTAAGACCACACTTGACACGGGCAAGGGGAGCGGAGCACGAGGAGGAGAAAAAACGAAGGCGAAAGCGTGGACTGCTCTAGTTAGACACCCCACCCCTTACTCTCTGTGCGACCTTGGCAGATCTCTTGACCTCTCTGAGGCTCAGTTGCCTCCTGCAGGAGATGAGCCAGCTAGCGTGACAACCTCAGGGTTGAATGAGGATAAAAGGAGGATATTTGTAAAGCACTTAGATGGAACAGTGCGTGGTAAACAGCAAATGCTTCACAAGTGCTTGTTAAATAAATAACTTGTTATTTCTAAATCTCTAGGCAATGACAGCAGTTGGGAACACAGCAACACTTCTTCCGGCTTATGGCGGCCTCACAAACATCTGGAAAATACTCACTTGGGAGCAGGCCAGGTCTCTGAGCCCCCGTGGTGGTCATAGAGCATTAGGGCCTTGGGTTACTCAGGATGGTATTTATTGAGGCATGATGCCTTTCAACTCCTTTCCTGCAGCATGGTTTCTGGGTGGCAGTGGGGTGGGGGTTGGTCACAGAGTGAAGCAAGCTAAGAATTACTGGCCCTTTGGCCCAGCATTTCCACTTCTAAGAATGTGCCCTACAGAAATGGTCACATGGTCCTGAAGACTGGCAGATATGCCAGTTCTTTGCAGTAATGAATAATGGAAACTACCAAAATATCCACTCATAGGGGGCAGGTTAATCAACGATGATACCCCCTAAATGGAGTGGTTGCTGTTCAGTTGCTCAGTCGCATCAAACTCTTTGCAATCCCATGGACTGTAGCCCACCAAGCTCTTCTGTCTATGGAATTTTCCAGGCAAGAATACTGGAGCGGGTTGCCATTTCCTGCTCTAGGGGATCTTCCCCAGTCAGGGATCGAACCCATGTCTGCTGCATCTCCTGCATTGCAAGCAGATTCTTTACCACTGTGCCCCCTGGGAAGCCCAGATGGAACATTTAACATACCATTAAAATTAACAAGAATGACTGTAGTTCTCAAGGAGGAGTGGTCACTAGAGGCTTTTGAATCAGGCAAACCCTGGTATCAATGCTCTTTCTGCCATTCATTGACTGTAGGAGGCAGAAAAACTGGCCCCCAAAGATAGAGTCACTTCTTAGTTCTCAGAACCTGAGACCATTGCCTCGGGTGGCAAAAGATGTAATTAAGTCAAGGATCTAGAGAGAAGTAGCTTAGCCTGGATTATCCAATGGGCCCATAAATACGATTAAATGTATCCTGATAAGACGGCTGCAGGAAATTGGAGACAGAAGAGGAGACACAGATATACACACAGAAGATTAGAAGACGGAGGAGGAGACAGGAGAGATACAGCCACAAGCCAAGGAATGCTGGCAGTCACCAGCTGAAAGGGGAAAGAAATAGATTCTCCCGATGCAGCTAGAAGTTGGTATGCTGTGAAAAAGAAAATGAGATTTCACCCCTAGAGTCTCTGGAGGGCATGTGATCCTATGATACATTGATTCTGGACTTCTGACTCTAGAACTGTGAAAAAATACATTTCTGGGTTTTTTTTAAGACTTTTTTTTTTTTTTTGATATGGACCATTTTTTAAAATCTTTATTGAATGTGTCACAATATTGCTTCTGTTTTATGTTTTGGTTTTTTGGCTTAAGATGTGGGATCTTAGTTCCCAGACCAGGGATCAAACCTGTACCTCCTGCATTGAAAGTCTAAGCCTTTTTTGAAATGCTACCTGTTAATTTTGGAAAACAGTTTGTTTTGTACTGGGGTATAGCCAATTCACAATGTTGTAATAGCTTCAGGGGAGTGGCAAAGGGACTCAGCCATACATATACACGTATCCATTCTCCCCCAAACTGGAAGTCGAAGTCTTAATCACTAGACCAGCCAGGGCAGTTCCCATGCCTGTTGTTTAAAGCAAACCCAGGTTGTGGGCATTTGTTACTGCAGCCACCACAAATGAATACACTCACTGCGTCCCTGGCCCACCCTGCACTGCAGGGTCTACATTGAAAACATGGGAGCCTGGAGAGTCGTGGTGCTGATGAACAAGATGATCTACAAGGTGCTTGGCACGGTTCCTGGAGTTACGCAGGTGCCACCGCACATGCCATGGAGGTTCGGACCAAAGGGGCCAGAGCCAGGCTCCGTGTCACCACTTCCAACCGAGGCAGGTGAATTAGGATTGGTGGTGGTAGCAATGGTGTGGGGCTGGGTGAGATGATTCAAGGCAGGCTTGAAACAAGCTTGGTATGCAGCAAGTGCTTGATATCTGCTACCCATCGCTTATTTTTATTACCACCACCACCACTGCTGCCGTATTAGCCTGCTCTGTCTGCTCTAACCAAATACCACAGACGGGGTGGGTTCAAGCAACAGACTTTTATTTTCTCACGGTTCAGGAGCTACAAGTTCACGACCAAGCTGTCAGCAAGGTGGTTCTCTCCTGAGGCCTTTGTCCCTGCCTTGCAGACGGCCACCCTGTGTCCTCGCGGGGACTTTCCTCTGCGAGCCTGCACCCCTGGTGTCTCTCTGTCCAAACTTCCTCTTCTTATAAGGATGCCAGTCAGATTGGACGAGGGTCCACTCTAATGAGCTCATTTTAACTCAGTCACCTCTTCAAAGTCCCTATCTTAAAATGTTATGTTGGCCAAAAGGCTTGTTGGGTTTTTTTCCCATAAGATGTTACAGAAAAATCCAAACCAACGTTTTGGCCAACCCAATACAATCACATTCTAAGGTACTAGGGGCTGGATCTCAACATACGGATTCTAGGGGGACACAATTCAGCTACAAACCCCACTGCCGCCGCCACCATCATCACTGTCACCATCACAAAACCTTCCTCGCCTGAAGTGTCTGAGTTACAGAAACCATGGTGCCTTAGTAGATGTTCGCTCATGAAGGACCAATGAGGTTAACACTTAGGAAAATATGCTTCTAGAATGATGTAAGTAGTAAAGTTTTGCGTGCCTTTCAGTTATCTGGAAAGCCAGCGTCCTGTGTCCACAAAGCATGAGGCAGTTAGAGGCTTCCTGAGTGCTGTCACTGGCCTTGCGCTCCCCCAGGCTCATTGCATGGGGTTTCTTTGGAAACTCGGGATCCACATTGTGTATCTTGGAGAAGAATGTGGTGTCTTGCCTTCTCCCGGCTTCTAGGGCCAGGGCACAGGGAAGGGGCGCAGCCTACAGGCTGGGCCAATGGGCAGAAGAAGGTGGTATACCTAGTGGAAAATGCAAATGAATTCTATTGTGCTAAGGCTCCAACCCTCGGCTCTGAAAAGGGAAGTAGGATCATGGCAAAACTTAAAGAAGTGGGTGGCTTATAATGACTCTGAGGCTTCCTAGAAAAAGCCATTCTGAGGGTAAATAACAAAGAAGTCAAACAAAACTGGGTACTCAGTCTGATGTGGCCGCCCAGAAAACAGAAAACAGGAGAAACCCGTTCCCTGGGAAACCAGACAGCCAGCTCATCTGATAGGTCCCCTCACCCCCACCCAGGTGCCTCTGAAGGCAGGAAGCCCAGCATGGAGCTCCTCCCCTGGGACACGAACACAGAGATGAAGGGCCAGTGACCTTCCACACCCTCAGGATTTAGATACCGTCATTCAACTCCACCCATCCATTCTCTTAACTATGGCCAGGGCAATCTTGATCATGATGACCGCGGAGAATGATGGCATATTCACTGAGGGCAAAGAAAGGGACAGGCCCTTGACATGCCTTATCATGGTGCCTCTAAAGTGAATTCAGGGGGGCTTGACCCAAAACCTTTCGTGATATAGATTAGAATAGGAAATATCAGAGTGCACCCATCTGGGGGAAACGTGCATATTACACATTTACTGGGACTAAATATAACAGTATTTCCTACCATCAAAATGTTACAAAGCCCCTGAAAAAGACACATGTTCATTGTAGCCCAATGCTCATTGTAGCCCAATGCTCATTGTAGCACTATTTACAATAGCTGTGACATAGAAACAACGTAGATGACCACTGACAGATGAATGGATAAAGAAGCAGCGCTACATATACAGTGGAATATTACTCAGCCATAAAAATGAATGCCCTTTGAGTCAGTTCTAATGAGGTGGATGAACCTAGAGCCCATTATGCAGAGAAAGTCAGGAAGAGAAAAACAAATAACATATATTAACTCATATATATGGAATCTAGAAAGATGCCAATGAACCTGTTTGCAGGGCAGTAATGGAGACTCAGACATAGAGAACAGACTTGTGGATACGGAAGAGGGAAGGAGAGGGTGGAATGAATGGAGAAAGTAGTATTGAAATATACACGCCACCATATGTAAAATAGATAGCCAATGAGAATTTGCTGTATGGCTCAGGGAACTCAACCTGGGGCTCTGGGACAACCTAGAGGAGTGGGATGAGGTGGAGGTGGGAGGGAGATTCACGAGGGAGGGGACATATGTATACCTTTGGCTGATGCATGATGATGTATGGCACAAACCAACACAATGTTGTAAAGCAATTATCCTTCAATTAAAAATAAATATATTTTTTAAAAATGCTTGAAAGCCCTGTGTGCTATCATCTTCCCCTTCTTACAGAGAAGGAAATGGAGATGCTGCTTTGAACAAGAACCCAACACCCCAGTGCCTGCGATGCTCACAGAGCTGTCGCTTCAATGCTTTCAAAGGCTCCCCACAGGTCTTAGAATAAATCCCCAAACCTCATCCTCACATTCTCACCTCCCTTCACTCTGCACACCAGCTTTCCTACATTTCCTCTAGCACTACCTGCTCTCTCCTGCCCCAGGACCTTTGTATGTGCTGTGCCCTCTGTGCAAAATAGTTTCTACTCCCTTACCCAGGCTCAAACCTGCACACCCTTTATCATCTAAACTTCACTTGCTCAGAGAGGTCCTTCTCCTCCCCGCCCACCCCCTCCCCGCCCCAATCAGGTCACACCACCCCACAGAGCACCTTCCTCACCAGGGACCAGTTTCATGGAAGACAGTTTTTCCATGGATGGGGGCAGGGGATGTTTTGGGGGTGATTCAAGTTCATTACATTTATTGTGCACTTTATTTCTATTATTATTACATCAGATCCACCTTAGATCATCAGGCATTAGATCCCAGGGGCTGTGGACCCCACAATAAATCACTACAGAAATATTTCTTACAGTTTCCATGAGGTCCATAATGGCAGGGACTATGTCTATTCAGTTCTCAGGTGTATCCCCAGAGTGTAGTGTAATGCAAGAATTCCACAGATATTTGATGAATGCGCAAATGAACCTGTCAGAGAGTGAGTCTTGCTGGAAGACACAGAAACTATAAACAAGTATCAGCTGAGGATTCCAATATCTCAAATTACATACAACCTTACTGTATGAAAACATCCTAGTACTGAAATCTGACAAGCCTGGGTTCAAATCCAACCTCCACAATGTATCAGCTGGGTGACCTGGATAAATGACTCAACCTCTCTGAATCTCTGTTTCCTCATCTGTGAAACGAATGTGATATTTAGCTCAATGTTGTTAGTATTAAATGAGGCAGCCTAGATCATGGCCTCACCCATAATAGGAGACCCCCTAACTGGAGCTAGTATTAAATTTTTATAGAACATTGTTCTCCACGAAGCCTCCATAGGTTCCCAAAGATGACATCCAGTTATGGTGTGGAGCTCGACTGAGCGCAGTCTGGGGCAACTGCCGTGGAGGGAAATTTGACAAGATCTACAACCTGGTGGCTCAGATGGTAAAGAATCTGGCTGCAATGTGGAAGACCAGGGTTCGATCCCTGGGTTGGGAGATCCCTGGGTTCCCCTCTGGAGAAGGAAATGGCAACCTACTCCAGTATTCTTGCCTGGAGAATCCCATGGACAGAGGAGCCTGGCAGGATACAGTCCATGGAGTTGCAAACAGTTACATATGACTGAGCGGCTAACATACACAAAATGAGGAAGGTTGTATCCTCGGACACAGCAACACTACTTCCAGGGATGTTACTCTGGGCATGTGGAGTGGCTTTTAAAACCTGAGTTTTTCTACTGCCTTCTTTAGAACAGCCATGGGTCAGGAAGACCCTAAACACTCAGCATCGAGGACCGGCTCCATCAGCTGAGGTGTCCCATATGCTGGGATCTAAGAAAGAAGGGTCAAGAAACCATGCACTGACTAGGGTGCTCGCCAGGGGACACTCTGAATGAAGCGTGTTAAAAAGCTAAACATAGAATTATGTGTATGTTAGGCTCCCATCTACATAAAAAAGATGAAAAAGCGTATGTGCCTATTTCACTAAATGAGCATAAAGTATCTCTGAAAAGACAAACCAGAAACTGGTAACCCTGGTTTTCCCTAGGAAGGAAGCTGGGTGGCAGGAACACAGTGGGGAGCACTTTTCTCTATAAACCCTTACGTACTTTTAAAATTTTGAAACATGAAAATGTATTACTTTTTCAAATAAATAAGTTTAAAAAAAGTGATCAGCTGGGTGATCAGCTCCCCTTCTCAAAAGTCAAATACAAACACAGCTTATACGATTTGTTCAAAGTCACCCAGCTCTTAGAAGTCGGG